AAAAATTGAATCGGTTCTCCCTCAAATTGTATATATTCTACAGACATGGTTTTATTTCAGAGCTCTTGATATGATCTAGAATAAAAACCTTATAAATATTTATAGCATATTTTCCTGCTACAGTTTTTATGAAGCAAACTTTACATTGTCTTTAAGCAAGAAGAATACTAAAGGGTTGTGTAAGTTGAAAAGTAATACATAACAGAGTGAACTGGCATAGGGTTGCTGTAATCTAAGAAAGGAATTTCAGTTTCATTTTTTTGTAATAAAAATTTTTTAATTGTTCAATTTCATTTTGTTATTTGAAGTTTATCTTTCTTTCAATTTTCATTGATAATGATAAAAGACCTACAAGGAAAGATAAAGTTTCATTTACATCTATTAGAAATAAATTAATGTCACTGAGTGGATGAAATTTGATACTTGAACCAGACTCTTTGTTTAGAATGGAGAAATCTCATTAACTTGTTGATTATAACGAGCCAGAATATCAAGTGGGCTTTAATCACAAGATACTTTAGTTTAAGTCAAAATAAACTCTAATCATGGAAAATACTTCAACACCCTACTTCCTTGAAAGTGGTAATTCAAAACAGGCATTCAGACTTCATTATAGAGTTAGTGAGAAAGATAAAACAGGATACAGTTTTCAGACATGGTACTAAATCTTATAACACTGATTAGTAGAATATGATAAAATACTCAAATTCTTAGAAATCATAAACAGGATGGGAAAAATATTGAAAAAGCAGCAAAAATAAAGTAAACTTTGGTTTATAATTTGGTGGTCCCTGCCAGAAGAATTTGTAGTTTTGATGGTATGCATTTTGGTTTCTCTTATTGATCAAGCAGAACTTTCATGGTTTTCTCAGGAGTTCATAAGTATATATTTAATGAAATTTAACAAGGCAATGAGAATTTGCAGTTAGGCCTATACATGGATAGCCTTTTGTTAAAGAGAGGCTAATATAATAACCCATTGCTAATGTGATTAAAAATCAAAACTTCATTCACTACTGTAGGATGTGTGTTAGCAAGATTTCTTTGTGCCCTATGACCAATTACCAACATACTTGTCGACTGTGAATAGTAGAAAACAAACAGAGTCAAGTCAACAGAAAAATGACAATATGTTTAGAAAGCCCACTAAAAACCAACAATCACTTGCTAACGACTGGCAAACAGCCAAATTACAACATGAATGCTTTAACAGTTTCCAGTGTGGTGAAGATATAAAAGGTTTTCAACAAGAAAAGATAAGAAAAAGTTGAACTTAAAAAGAAAAAGATCTTGAGTTATACAGGCTATAATATCAGACTTTTTATCTATTGGATTAAATTCCCTCAACAATTTCTTTGTCTGGCACATTTCGTCTTTTTTCATCAGTAATCATACCAATTATAGCCAAAGCAAAATAACACATATTTCAAACACACACTAACTTTTAACATTTCACAACATTATTAACCAAATACAGTTCTTTATTTACCGTAACATTAAAATAAAATAGATAGAGGAGACAAAAGGAGAATATATTCTGATATATAGCCATACTCTTCAATTCACAACATCTGATATGATCTATTTGATCATAAGCTCAATTAGTTGAAATTTATCATAGCTAATGAACACATTAATATTAGAAAAGGTCAACCACTTGATTAGATTTTCATTGTAGCCATTAATATCTCGAGTGGTATGGGTTTGCTTTAATTAGACCAACATTAGAAGTTAGATTTGAACTTGATATGCTGCTATGTAACTTGATGTAATGACCTCCCATATCCCTACATTTTGTCACATTCATTTATTTTCTTACCAAATATATTGAACTTGTTCCAAATAAAACTCCTGCCAAGATTACATGTAACTTAACATTCTTAATCTTTCCTTGATCTCAAATATATTATATGATACATTAACAGTTTAAATTGAAATAAAATAATGAGATTATGTTTTACTCTTCTTCTCTTGACTTGCCATAAAGTGAACAATAAGTAAAATGGTCATGGGCAGTCTGTTATATTTTGCTTTTCTATTGTAGAAGAATTAAAGAAGCTCAACCAAGGGTTTTTGTCAGATAAGTCCCTTTTGACCCGAATAGTATACAGCAAGAAACAGCATTGACAAATCCTGACACCACTATGACTGTAACTTGCACCTGATAGGTCACTTTATCTTTACAACATGCTAATCAACCTCTTCAAAAATTCTCAAGTTAAATATAATATCATATCAAACATTGATTAAGAGGTAATGGTATTAAAAGGTTAAAGAAGATTAGGTCTATTCCGTTAGATATCAATGAGAAATTCTACAGCTCTCTGGTTTCACATGAAATCAATTCTACTATTGATTTAATAAGGCTAATTCATGATCAGCACATCTCATCTATTCAGCTATCTTTCCTATTTAAATGGGAAAAAATATCAACATTTACATGAAAGCTAGGAAACGAGTTTCAGAATTATTTATCAATGAAAGCTCACCGATTTTAATTTAAGAGAGATCCATGTTCTAGGTATGATTCAAAATACTAATTAAGATAGCTGTATGACCGCTCTGCACCAAAAAGATATCTGGATTTTTAAACAAGGTTAATACATATTTACATCAAAGAAGATGGCTATATTACCAGAAGTTCATCACATGCTGAGGGGATTTCTGTTCACTTTCTTTGATTTCTTTCTTTATATCAAATTTTTCAAACATTGTCATATCAATTAATGATAATAGAAAAATTGTCAAAAAAGTTATCATAGTTGATAAAACACGTCACAGAGAGGCATTAGGTGTGATATCATTTTGCACCTTTCCCAAATTAATACAATAAAGTTGATATCAATGATTATCTATCTAACAGTTCTTAATATTAATCTTTTCACTTGACCTTAAATTATTAAGAACTTTAAGAAAAATCATAATAAAGCTTCACTTTGGATTATAATCCTGGATTAATGGGAGATTATCTTGATCTATGATAAGTTATTAGACTATTAGCCATTAGATTATTGGCCGTTGTATTAATCTGAACTCTTAATGGCTATATTGTTCATGCCTGAGTACACATATATTCTACACAGGTTCAATATATGAATCATAATTAAACTATAACATTTCAAATATTTCCTATTTGACTCATTTTATATAACAGTTGTTGAAAATTATTAAAATTCAGGAAACAGCATATTTCTTTAAGTTGCATTATATTATTTCTATTATAATATTTAAAGATTTGACACTTAACTAAAATTTCCCATTTACTTGTTTCCTTGTGAAATAGGGCAAAAAGGGCCCTTTTATTTCCCTATAATTTGCAACTTTCTTTATTATACTTTCCTTATGATTATCACCCTCAGTATATTATGTGAAAATAACAGTCTTTAGCACCTGGCTGGGTATGAAATGGAATATTTCATTCTGCTACTGAGACCCCAGGGTCTGTATTTCTAAAATCATTTCAGATAAACATCAACAAATTATTGTATATAACAGTAATGCCAATTATATTTTCATCGCATTTATCATATATTGTCAAACTATTTTTTCTTCCTATAAAAGTTTATATAAAGTTAAAGTGTGTAAAAGATAAAACTATTAATATCCTTTGTATAAATAAACTATGATATATACAAATATACCTAACTTTACATATTGTATTACCACCACTCTAATGTTGAAACTGGCACATTGCCAACACCCACTAAATATCTTTATAATAACACTTGTGTTAGAAATGCAAAATACTGTCATTTCATCATACCAGAAGACTTCAACTATATTCTGCAATTGCATGGCATGTATGAAAAAAGCCAATTAAGCCCTCATTATGATACTGAAGCAGTTAATTTATGCAGAGCAAAAAAACTCAAATTCACATACTTAGTATGACAGCATGAATTAAAAGGTGCAATTAAAATATATACATGTATGGAGCCTCGTGTCATGTTCATTACAGTACTGGATTGCAGAAAGTCCAAAGCGTTTATCATAAAAGAGATTGTAATGTCATTAACTTTATCATGAATTGAAACATGTAATATCATCTCATAAAATGCCAAAAATAACTGCTAACAACCGGGTGTATATGCAATTTGTAACGGTATTAATAAACGCCACATAATCAGATTTATACCTGCAGATTTAATATTTGATAACTGAGATCTGCAGTTTTTATATGAATGCTAACTAGTGTATCATGGAATAGCTGTATAATATCATAAATGCCAGAAATCAAGACAAGCAGCCTGATAATACAGTTGGTAAATATATATTTAATGTGATATACACCTATCTATCACTCTAGAGAATATGATATTTGATCAATGCAACTACAACTTTTGAACAAATCTACTTAATTAAACCCAAATAACTCAAAACGCTGACATAATACAATGACACCAGCAGAACAAAATTCACGAACATTGACCAACAAAATAAATTACTACTATTAAGTCAGCATGAAAACCTAATGAATCTAGAAAATAAGAATAGATCTGACATCAGCTCTGAAATAATAAAATCTTAAAGAACATACCTAGGTGGTGCCCAGTCATGTTTGGTAGCATCTAAAAGTGTGCCAACGTAGGTCTTTCCTCTCCAAGTGACATTTACCACTAATACACCTAAAGAGAGAGATCACAGTGTCAAATTCTAGCAGTAAGTGGGGTCTTTGGTATCTCAAAAATACCTATATGTGTATGCTAAGAATCTTAATTCAGCATTGGTAGCATTAACTATGTTTCAAAATACAGATTAAAGAAATACCTAATCAATAACAGCAATAAATCAGCTCAAAGTTAATTATAGGCCTACATTTAGAGATGGAAATTGTGTATAGTTTTAGAGCCATGATCTCAGTAGATGTGACCTGTCCAATGTTTCCAAGGATAAATTAATCACGAGGTGTAATACAATAAAAATTGGTCAATAATTTGTCTAAGATAATCATTTCAGAAAATTCGGACTTAATGACAAAATAAAAGAACTTCATATATTGTCTACAACCAGACAATTTGGCAAGAAAGAAGCGGAATCAATAATTCAGACTGATTCAGACAATACTTACCATTTTCTGTTTCATGCCAGACAATTCCCTCCAGATTTACACTGGTTCCTGGTTCACATGGTCCCAGACAATCAGGCTCTGTGGAAACACCAATAGTACAGGTTTCTACTCCAATATGATGACTATCTACCTGCATTGGGGAGCTGGCACTCTCCACCTGTAATGATGTAAATTTTCCATGATATTAAATTTGGGATAGGCCTTCGCAGTTATAAATAAAAAATCAGTACAAGCAAGTAGTTAGAAACATTCCCTCCTCCTCTTTGAAGAGCTAGTAAGGAGTCTGTTTCGGAGTGTTTGTAGGGGTTATCTAGCCCTAAGTCAAAAATGTAATATAATGACAATCATCTTCAAATAAGGCCAAACATCTTTCATATGTGACATCCATAGAAAGGGGTTTGTCAAACAGTTTATTATTCCTATCTTTATTTGTAGAATGTAGAATTACAGTAGCAGGCTATACTTAATTGTTTTGTTATGAAATTACATTTATCTAATTTTTTTACATTATTCCTCAACTAAAATCAAGTTTTATTATACATTTATTCTCAACTCCAACAAAAGGTTAGTATTGATTGAGCAAGACAATATGATTAACTATTAATGGTTGTTGCTCTACATCTAATTTATGGAATTCACCATTTTATTTAGCACTAAATCTGTTAAGGTGAAAGGTTTACAACAGTATTATTGCTAAAGAGCAGAAAGTCATGGAATCGCTCCAAAATATGATGCCAAAAAAAGTTGAAGAAGTTTGTAGTCTACTTCAGCCAATTGGTTGAGTAAGATAAGAAATCTGCCATCAAAGGGTTAATGTATTATCAAAAGGTTAAGAATTGGCTTACAAAAATAATAAAGAAGCCAATCCTTCAACAAAAAATACGTGTACCATTTATTTAATAAAAACAGAATGTGAAAGAAAATATATCCTACTTTCGTTTTTACGTTCCTGTTTCTTTTCAGCAGCATATTATCAATCTTACAAACAATGTGTTTATTAAACATCACATAGTTTTAGAACAAGGTAAACCCGGTAACACAACTTGTTCTAAAGTTCATATATCCGGGCGTGTATCACATTTATAACTTCAGTTTCACATTTAAAGACGTTATCTAATAAATTTAGAACACGTTATCTAGTGACAGTGTCATTAAACTAAACTATACAAGGCTATGTCCAGTACATGAGTTTACTATAAACTGATGTTGTACAGGGAAACAACAACTCTAGTAATTCTATTGTCAATCTAGTGTGACTGACTGCTGTCACTTACAAAGTCACGTCACGCTTCAATACACACATCTATACAATTCTTAATTACACGGTAATTGCTAGTTGTTAAGGGCTCACATTATTTCGAAAGGGGCGTTACCTAATTCTATTCTTGTGTTTACTTTTGTTTTTCTCTACGTAAAAGGGTGAACAATTTCCCGATAAGGCTAAGTACAAAAGTGTGCAAGATGCTTGTATAATAAATAGGTCTAATTGGTGACTGGAATTTTGAAGAAATTACATTATAGAAAATCTAGTGGAAATTTCATCGCTGACTCGGGCCTAATCCAATGACACATTTTTCTCTAATAAGGCACGTCTCTAGTTAATATTTCCCTGTACTTCAAATTCCCAAAGGTTTCAAAATTCATCACTTTTTAAAATATTATTTTTATTTTTAATCTCATCTAACTGCTATGATATCTGGATTGTAAGTTCAAACTGATCACAGATATTTTTCCCTTTTATACAAAGAAATAATTACACAAGTAAATATTAAATGTAATTGTTTATTTTAATGATCTGTTTGAAGGCATAATCATTGCATGTTAAAACCGTATTATATTTGAATCTTTGCCCCAGGCTAGAAACTGAAGTTATTTGATTGTTTATAATAAGTTGCCTTCATCATTTTACGAGGACATGAAAAGCTATCAGACTTTCAGCTTAACAATAACAATAAAATCATATTGACATTAGAGTGGTGGTAAATCAATACCATTACAATCTCAATATTTTACTCTTTCACATCAATTATAATCTCCATTTTCTTACCAAGCTGTGCTTTCAATTACACTGGGTGAATGTGGTAAGAAAAATAAGTGACGAGTGAAACTACGAAAGCGTTGGCTGAGAAAAAAATAAAAGATTTTCACAACAATGCAAATATATTTTGATTCAAAAATACTTCATAAGTACATTTTGCAGATTAATTTCGTTTCAAAATGTCAACCTAATGTCTTCTTAAATTTTAAGCAGCCTGTCCAAATTCGTTTCAGTAAATGATTTTTTCAATCCCAATTTTCAATGGATCGACAGCAGACAATGTCCGTCATGCATTTGTAAAAGCATAGACTGCAACAAAAATTAGGACAAATCAGCAAAAGTCTACAATGAATTACTGTATCTTTAAAAATGTAGAATCAATAAGCGTCAAATGGTTTTCTAAGTGTAGTATAAAAAATATTGATTCATTGATTTCGCCTCACGTTTCAACATTATCATCAATTATAGTTTATCATGCACATAAATTCGCGTCTAAAAAAACATAAAATGATTGAAGATAAAAAAGAAAAGATATGGTGTTTTTAATGTTGGGTTTATATACAACTTCACAGGCGTAATTAATGGTTAATGGTGAAGTAATATTACAGATCTTAATCAGTTGACTACCACAGCTTTAAATTACACAAATCCATTAGATTTGCTTCGTGGGTTTTTTAATGTTTTCATTTTTGATTTTGAAATGTTGGTGCTCTTCACGGGCATACTTACCGAAGTCCATTCAGGTTCATTTGCACCTATTGGGCTTAATACATTACTTGGCATAATTTTCTTGGTGGATCAGTACAATGCAAACCTTTGCAAGTGAGAAGTTGACAGTTTCAAAGATACATAAAAAAATCTAAGAAATGAGTTCTCACCTTTTCTGTCTTAACCTTTTTAGTAGGTAATGTTATTCCATCATCATCATTATTAAAATCATAGGGATCTAAACTTCCTTCTTTCTTGACAGTTTGTGCCATGTCTGCTATTTTAGGCTCCATTGAAACTTTGTTGAAGAGTTCATCTAATCCATTACTAATATTACCGTTCACTAAACGATCAGTTTTATTGTTAATATTACTTCCACCCTTTTCTTTCGTTTTCTCCTTTTTATGAGTACTTTTATTTTTATACGGTGACTTGTCACTATTTGAACTGCTTTGTTTGTTTTTGTCAGTACTTTGTCCGTTTACCCCTGCTCCACTGTTATTAGCCGAGTCGACGTTTTTTCCTTCATTTTTCACAATTTCATGTTTGCTATCAGCCTTGTTCACCCCAGCTACATTCTTTCTTTTGATTTTCATTTTGAGGCCTTTATCCGCAGTTGCGTGAACATGGTGTTCTGTACCACTCATTTTATATAAGGACTCCAGGTCCAAAATGGTTTTAAGTTTGCCAGGGACAAATTTCTATTTGTCCACAGGCAGATAAAAAGTAACAATCACTAAAGAGTCACTAGTAAAGTAAATCCAGAATCAGCCATGTTAAAATTTTGGGATGTTGTCCCTTTAAAGTTTTTGTCGTGAAGACTGCTGAGTTAACAAAGTATTCCAATATAATACAATCCAAAACTGAAATAATAATGATTAGATTTATATTAAATAGTAATCATTACAATATATAACACATTTTACTACACTTTAATTAAAAATGTGACAAAATTTAAAAATCACTTTGAAAAGTCCAATAACACGAGTATTACAATATTCCATTTGAATAAACAATTACAACATACCAGTAACACACTATTAATACAATATATCCATAAGAATTCTCATATAAAATCCAATAGTACAATAGCTTTAAATAGTATATTATAGTTAAAAGTATCCGATATTCACTGGTATATAATGTCGACAGTGCGGTGTGCCAGTATAAACTGAATACTATCGTGTATAATCCTCTCTTACTGCTCCTAGCTTTCTTTGTTCACTTCACCAGTTTGATTGACGTACATGCTATGTGTTAGGCTCCTCCCATCAGGGACTGCGGGTGGTCACACGTTTTGACCACAGTTCTTGCTAATCAATCTTGCCTCTTTCCTCTCACGTCTTGGCTTTAACTTTTATGTGTAGTCGTTTGTGATTGACTATTCAAAAGCTAGTCACCTTTCTCCAGTATTTTCTCTCCTCTCATTACTACAAAATATAAAGCGATTTATTTTGTTCAATGAAGCATGGCAAGCTGATGGGCGAAAATAACTGGTAACGTCAGCCTATTTCACACATGAATACGATTTCAACTCCCTACTTTTACCGTCATAGCTGAATTAGGACAATCTTGATAGTAATTAACTAAAACCTGCGGCTATTTAGGATTTATATGCAAGCTCGGTTGAAAAAGATGGCCACCGAGTCAAGACTTCTCACTGTTTTAATGTATATCATTGAAAGAAAATGGAAACTAATAGAGACAGAAAATGTCGATTAAACGAAGTAAATAATTGTAATTGAAGAATCGTAGACACGAATTCACATGAAGCTTAACAAGGCCAGTTTGTTATTGAAATAATGGAAGACAGGCGTGTTCTTAGTAAATCTCGAGAATATTGTGGTGTTGATACAGAAAACATTAGATAAAAGGTTAAAGGTCAAACAATATCGAGATTTTGCAGTTGTAAACACATTTTGCACATGTTGTTGAAGTTAAACCACAGTATATTCGTGAAAATGTCCTGTTTGATATTTTTGGTAAAAATTCTTCATTACTTGCAAATAGTTACCTTGTAAAATCCTTTTTATTGTTGAAATGTGTTTAATACGATTTATTAACTGTACGTTATCGAATTTCGCTTCACATGAAATTGTTTCTCTACCGAGTCGTCAAACTAGATAGCAAATAAAAATGCGGATAAAATATTAAATTCGACCATATTTAACGTGGTATTTTTTGTTATTAGGCTTACCACAGCGAATAAGTTTATTGTTTGCCTGTTATAATTTAATCAATGGAAATACATGACTAGTAGACAATGCAACTGACATCCATTAGTAGACTACACTATACTGTATATATTTCCGATATATATGACGATAAGGGATAGGTTTCATGAATATATTACAATATCAAACCATGACGTTTCTCGGTAACATTCGGCAAAGGGGGAGGGGAGGGGGGAGGGGGGGGGGGGGGGGGATCCAGCAGTGAAAAAAAAAAAAATCGGGTTCCCCTTAAAAACGCCCCTGTATCCAAACTCACTAGGGATTCTTTTCAAGAGGCTATGTAGGTAAAACTGGATATATAAATAAAATTGGAAATGTTTGCATTTGATTTTTTTTAACCCGATTTGTTATCTACCCGTATTATAACCGCCCTTTGTAATATACATCACACAGAAATCCGACTTCCTTTATTTTTCTGGCCAGGGGTATTTTGATTTTTGGGGGGTGGCGGGGGGGGGGGGGGGGGGGGGGGGGNTAAAAAAAAAACAAAAAAATTTGGTTTAGGGGGGGGAAAAATTTTTTTTGGGGGGGGGTTTTTAAA